AATTGTGCCATACAATACATAATACAGAGAGACAGAGAGAGAGACCAGACAGACCTATGGCGCGACCGCAAGGGATTATGGCCCCTGGCAGGCGCGCGAACCCCGTTGCAAGAGCGTGCGAAAGTAGCTCGCGCGAGCTCATGTAACATAAATGTTGGAAAACCATTGGTTGTTTTAGGATTCGGACAGCGCGCGCGGGTGGAAATTTTGAAAAGTCGTGCAGGTGTTTTTCGAGGACCTACGGTGCGATTCGTGTGATTTTATGATGCGCGGTGCTAAAATTCTTAAGAACCCAATGGTTTTTGGAGATTTCGGCGTGCGCGCGCGAAGAAAAAACGAATGTGTCCCGCATGGTATTATTTGACAGGGATGATGGCCCTGGCAGGTGCGCAACCGTTGTCGCAGAAGTTCGAAAAAGTTGCTCGCAAAAGCCCGTTTGACAGAAATGTTTAAAAAGTGTTGGTTTCCTACGAATCCGCAAGAGCGCGCGGGATGAGATTTTGACATTTTTTTGTTGAAAAACCATTGGTTTTTTGATGTTTTTATGTTAAAATCGCTCCGAACACTAAGCTTTTGGAAGGATTTCGTCTTGCGCGCGCGAATGTCCACTTTACCTTATTTTTTGCAAGGGATTCTTGAAATTTGATTATATTAGAACAAGAAATGTCATTTTATAGTGTTTTTTGCAAGGGAAAACGGATTACAACAAAACAACCGGATCTGGATCACATCGAATTACCTGAGGCTTCCTCACGAAAATGATGAAAATGTAGCTGCGGCCTAGGCGCGCGCAGGGGGGCCGTGCACCAGGGGTCCCAACAATAATTATTCTTTAGAATTAATAATGTTCAACAACAACAACAACAACAACAACAACAACAACAATCATTTTACCCGAACGCTCAGTGTTCTCACCAGTGCCAGGGTTTTCATGCGACGCGAGACAATACCCCCACTTCGTGGGGGGGCAGTTCAAGCTCTACCAAATATCCAAACGACTCTTCGCGACCACCCAAACCCAGCTTCCCGCCCTATGACGTTGGGACACTTCACTTCGTGGCGTGCGGACGACCGTGGCTACTACACTGGCGTGGGGTACACACCCACAGAACTTGGTCACTTATTCGGGGCGCGCGTGTGCCCAGCATCCTGCAATTGTGACATACAATACATGACACAGACAGACAGAGAGAGAGACAGAGAGCAGACAGAGAGAGAGACAGAGAGAGCGGAGTTGGCACATTTTTGGGGCAAGTTCCTGAGATCGTCGTGTTTTTTGTTGGTCTTGCGCGCGCGAATGTCCACTTTACTTTTTTTTTGCAAGGGATGTTGAAATTTGATTATGTAAGAACAAGAAAAAGTAGCTCGCGCGAGCTTATGTAACATAAATGTTGAAAAACCATTGGTTTTGTGGGAGTCGGACAGCGCGCGCGGGATGAAATTTGGACATTTTTTTTTGAAAAACCATTGGCTTTTTGATGTTTTTATGTTGAAATCGTTACGAAACCTAAGGTTCTGGAAGGATTTCGTCTTGCGCGCGCGAATGTCCACTTTACCTTATTTTTTGCAAGGGATTATTGAAATTTGATTATGTTAGAACAAGAAAAAGTAGCTCGCGCGAGCTCATGTAACATAAATGTTGAAAAACCATTGGTTTTGTGGGATTCGGACAGCGCGCGCGGAAGGACATTTTGACAATTTTTTCTTAAAAAACCATTGGGTTTTTGATGTTTTTATGTTAAAATCGTTACGAAACCTAAGGTTTTGGAAGGATTTCGTCTTGCGCGCACGAATGTCCACTTTACCTTATTTTTTGCAAGGGATTCTTGCAATTTGATCAACTAAGAACAAGAATTTTCATTTTCTATTGTTTTTTGCAAGGGAAAACGAGCGTCAACAAAAAACCGGATCCGGTACCAATCGTTTTGCCTGAGACTTCCTCACGAAAATGATGAAAATGTGGCTGCGGCCTAGGCGCGGCGGGGGGGTCGAGCACCAGGGGTCCCAACAATAATTATTCTTAAGAAGAAATAATGTTCAACAACAACAACAACAACAACAATTACTAGCACGTGGGGACACTCCGTTCTCACCAGTGCCAGGGTTTTCATAGGAGGCGGGCAATACCCCCACTTTGTGGGGGGGCCGGTTCAAGCTCTACCAAATTTCCAAACGACTCTTCGCCACCACCCACACCCAGCTTCCCGCCCTATGACGTTCGGACACTTCACTTCGTGGCATGCGGACGACCGTGGCTACTATTCAGGGCCCCGCGGCCGACGACGACGGCGTGCGCGCGCGAAGAAAAAACGAATGTGTCCCGCATGGTATTATTTGACAGGGATGATGGCCCTGGCAGGTGCGCAACCGTTGTTGCAGAAGTTCGAAAAAGTTGCTCGCAAAAGCCCGTTTGACAGAAATGTTTAAAAAGTGTTGGGTTTCCTACGAATCCGCAAGAGCGCGCGGGATGAGATTTTGACAATTTTTTGTTGAAAAACCATTGGTTTTTTGATGTTTTTATGTTAAAATCGCTGCGAACACTAAGGTTTTGGAAGGATTTCGTCTTGCGCGCGCGAATGTCCACTTTACCTTATTTTTTGCAAGGGATTCTTGAAATTTGATTATATTAGAACAAGAAATGTCATTTTCTATTGTTTTTTGCAAGGGAAAGCGGATTACAACAAAACAACCGGATCCTGTACACACCCTCTTTTCTGAGGCTTCCTCACGAAAATGATGAAAATGTAGCTGCGGCCTAGGCGGCGCAGGGGGGGCGCGCACCAGGGGGCCCAACAATAATTATTCTTTAGAATAAATAATGTTCAACAACAACAACAATTACTAGCACGTGGGGACACTCCGTTCTCACCAGTGCCAGGGTTTTCATAGGAGGCGGGCAATACCCCCACTTTGTGGGGGGGCCGGTTCAAGCTCTACCAAATTTCCAAACGACTCTTCGCCACCACCCACACCCAGCTTCCCGCCCTATGACGTTCGGACACTTCACTTCGTGGCATGCGGACGACCGTGGCTACTATTCAGGGCCCCGCGGCCGACGACGACGGCGTGCGCGCGCGAAGAAAAAACGAATGTGTCCCGCATGGTATTATTTGACAGGGATGATGGCCCTGGCAGGTGCGCAACCGTTGTTGCAGAAGTTCGAAAAAGTTGCTCGCAAAAGCCCGTTTGACAGAAATGTTTAAAAAGTGTTGGGTTTCCTACGAATCCGCAAGAGCGCGCGGGATGAGATTTTGACATTTTTTTGTTGAAAAACCATTGGTTTTTTGATGTTTTTATGTTAAAATCGCTCGAACACTAAGGTTTTGGAAGGATTTCGTCTTGCGCGCGCGAATGTCCACTTTACCTTATTTTTTGCAAGGGATTCTTGAAGTTTGGTTATGTTAGAACAAGAAATGTTCACTTTAGTTTTTTTTTTTGCAAGGGAAAACCGATCGTAACAACACAACCGGATCCGGACCAACCCGTTTTGCCTGAGACTTCCTCACGAAAATGATGAAAATGAGGCTGCGGCCTAGGCGCGGCGGGGGGGTCGTGCACCAGGGGCCCCAACAATAATTATTCTTTAGAAGTAATAATGTTCAACAACAACAACAGCAACATCAACAACAGCATCAACAACAACAACCACAACCACAACCACAACCACAACAATAACAACAACATCGCCAACAACAACCACAACAACAACAACAACACCACCACCAACAACAACAACACCACCACCACCACCAGCAAAAACAGCAACAACAACAACACCACCAACAACAACACCAACAACAACAACAGCAGCAATAACAACAACAATAATTTCATGACTGTCCGCCCTTATATGCTCGAGTGTCCAATCACGCGTACTTCCCAAACCCTCGATACCCGCCCTCTTCGTCTTCGATCGAACCCTTTTTGGGGGGTATACCTTTCTTCCCTGCAGGCGGGGCCCCGGCAAGCGGCGGGGCGGCCGCGGACCGTCGGCCTGGCCAGCGGCAGCGCTGATCGACGGGGCGGTCGCGGACCGTCGACCCGACCCCAAGAGGGACGGACAGGGGACCGACGACGACGACGACGACGACGTCGAAGACGACGGCGACGACGACGACGACGGCGACGAGGAGCGAAAGCGAGAGCGAGAGAGAACGACAGCAGGGCCACGAAGGGCACGAAGTAGGCTACGAAGGGCGACAGCGGGGACACGAAGGGAATGCGTATGGGGCCACAAAGAGCGCGAACGAGCGGGGGCCACGAAGTGCAGATAATGCTGGGCCACAGAAGGCAACTATGGGGCCACTGAGGGTAGCAACTGGGCCACGTAGGACAGTGAGGGGGACACAACTGGCGACAGCGGGGCCACGAAGGGCATGCACATGGGGCCATAACGGGCGCGACTCCTGGGTGCCTGGGTGTCGGGAGCGCGGTGCTTGGGCAAATTGCAGGAGATTCCAACGCAAGCCCATTCTTCAGTAAGTTGCAAGCAGGTCTCCAGCGAGAGCGCGACTCCAGAGCGCCGGGAGAGCGATTCCTGAATAAATTGTAAGGGGGTCCCAAGCGAGAGCGCGATTCCTGAATACAATGCGAGGAAGTCTCGGGCGGGAGCGGGGGTCCTGGCTAAGTTGTAAAGAAGTCTCAAGCGGAAGCCGTTGTTGTTGTTGCAATAGTCATTCTGTTTATCTGATAATGCTGGTCCCTGCTATTGCTGTTGCACGCTCTCACCCCTCTGCCCGTAAACATATTGGCTGAGGGGGCCCCCTTCTGCCTACGCTACCAGCTAGCATAACGTATCATTTGCAGCGAGAAGGTCTTGGAATAAAAGATTCACGCATATTGTCAGCACCTGCGTGTGCGTTGCATTGGCAGCGGAGCGTGTATTCCGAGCTCCCTCGCAGGGAGAACCCTTTCGGCATCAGACAGTTTCCTCCCGGACACTCCCGTGCAGTCGGACAGCTTCCGACGGATATCACATCTCGCACGATGGCTGACCGGAGGCCTGCTGCTGCCGCTGGTTCTCGTGGTGCCGCCGCACCGAAGAAGTACGGAGATCGTCGATACAGGGGCAAGCACCCTCGAGAGGGAGCCGCGGCAGCGGCAGCGTCTGTGCCCGACGACGAGACCTACGAAGAGGACTGGGCCGACGAGTGGGCTGGAGAGGACTGGGCCGAGGACGACGACGAGGAGTCGGAGATTCCACCGAGCTCGGCGGAGTTTCGACGTACCCGCGGTGATCGCAAGAAGTGGCGCGGAGGACCGTGCCCAGCCCCACCTCCACTCGAGGCCAGGTTTCAGAATATATACAAGCAGCCGAGATACTACCAGAAGTGGGTTAGGAAAGTCCACATGTGGAAGGCCAGGGCGCGACACTACAAGCCGATGGCCGAACTGGCCCTGGACCTTTCAGACGTCATCACGGGCGAGGGCGCAGAGATGATCGAGTCCTTGGAATGGACCCGGTTGTATTCCCAGGATGGTATTGATTTGGTGATCAACTCCCTCGCCGTGTTTGACGAGCAGCAGATCCTACAGGTTGGAGACCTCATGGAAGAGTACGAAGAAGTGGAGCGTCTGCCCGGTGAGCTGCTGGCCGCATACGTCGCGCATTTCAAGGATCTCGAGATGCGGCTCAAGCGGGCAGAGCTTCCAGCTCAGCAAGGACAATTTCGAGCATTCAAGTTGTTGCGAAGTTCATGTTTATCGCCGGAGGTCCGGCGCAACCTTCTCCTCGCCACGGGCAATGAGTATGACTTCGACCGCCTCGTTCAGGCTATGAGTGTGCAGTGGCCGTCCACCGCCCCGAACTGGGTCGCACCAGTACGACGGATGGCACGTAAGCGACTCGGTGAGGCGGCCGCTCCTGAACGCAGGTCGGCTGGTCGAGATCCCGACAAAGGAGGCGGCAAAGGACGAGATCGACAGCCACCGAGTCGAGCTCCTCGACCGCCGCCGAAGCCGCCCCACGTCAGCGAGGCCGACATTATTCCCGAGGACGAGGCTGAGGAAAATGAAGATGAAGATGACCCCGATCAAGCAGAAGTAAATGAGGCTTACGCCGAGGAGGTTGACAGTATCCAGGTCATGCAGGAGGTGGCGGACGCTTTGACCGTCACCAGCGACAAGTTGAAGAAGCTGACCTTGGGCCGCGGGTGGACCGGAAGGTCCTCGCCGCCGAAGCCTGGAGACCGACGCCCGCCACCGCGGTCCGCGCCCTCCGGGGGTGCCACCGCCCCTGCGGGCCGGCCGTCCCCAGCGCCGCCCGGCAGGCCGCCGCAGACATCGTCAGCACCGCCACAGAGAGGCACTGCGACGCCGCCGGCCGGCACGTCTTTTTCAGGAAGCATTCGTGGAACATTTACGGGAGACCGATCCGGAGATTCAAGAGCACCGGCGGCATCTCAGAGGCCAGGGTTTCGCCAGACGTCTTCGAGGACCGGCTACAAGGATAAACGCGACCGAGCTCGCGCCGTTCATGATGCCTCGATCGACCAGGACGAACCCGCCGATGAAGACGATGAGGAGTACGCCGCCGATGCAGTAGAGCACGAGGCCTTAGTCACGCACCTCTCGCCCGACGAGCTGCAGCAGCGCGTGGCCGCCTTCAAGAGCAGGGTCGCCACCAGCGACAAGGGGGCCTCCCACGTTCGATTTCAGGCAACGCCAGAAGTGCGTCAGTTTTCCGTGGATTCTCGCGGAGCTCAGGCGGCGAGAAGCGGGACAAAATCATCGCATCAGGTCGACGTCATCTGGCATGTCCGGACGCCCTTGGACGTTTGCTTCCTCGAGGATTCCCAGGGTTTCTACATTGTCATCGACACAGGTTGCCAGCGCAACGTTGTGGGCTACGAGTGTTTGGGAAAGTTTCTGGAACATATCGCCTACCTGGGATTGAGTTTCTGGGAAGCTGAGGAGCAAGAGAGGTTTCGGTTTGGAGTCAGTCGTGCGGTGAGCAAATCTGTGGTGTATTTCCCGATATGTCTTGAACATGTGGTGCCCCTGGTTTGCCGTGCCTCAGTCTTGGACGTGAACCCTAAGTTGCCTTTCTTGGGATCGTTACCGATGTGGAAGCTCTTGGGCCTCCAGCTGGACACCTTGGGGGAAAGGGCTCATTTCACCAAGATCAACCTGTGCGACGTGCCTTTGAAGATTGCCCCGAATGGCCACTTGCTTCTGAGAGTCGACTCTTGGTTGAAGGATGTGGGGTTCCCAAGGGAGCCCGAGGCCTGGAAGTTCACCCCCTCGGACGTCATCATCCCGGAGCCCCAGTGGATCCCAGAGGCACCAGCCTGTGTTTCCGGAGATAGTTGTGCTCAAGCCGAGTCTCAGCCTATGCAGTTTCCACGCGCAGCACTGTGTGCTCTTACATATGCTCACCGCGGGCTGCGTCAGCCTCGCGAAGTCCTGCCCTCCGTGCCAGACGGCTGTAACCTGACCGACGCCACGCCCGTGTTCGAGAGCATCCTCGGTCTGTCGGTGAATGAAGTCGGTCAAGTCGGAGTCGCAGGAGGCCCGATCGTCTCGTCGTACAGTTCAGCTGACGAGGCAGAACCTGGCGATCAACGCGTGGAAGAACCTGATGCAGCTGATCATGAACCACCTGTCGCACATCATCGGTCGCAGTCGCGAGCAGTTCCGGCAGAACATGGAGATGTCGAACCGGATGATGGGCGCGATCGCGCAGATGGGCCACGAGATGGGCTACCTGACACCGATGGCGGACTCAGTGAAGGCGATCGCGAGAGGAGCCGCACAGGTTCCGGAGAGCGTGCTGCCACCGCCGCCGGCACCAGAGGATCAAGCCCAGAACTACTCACAGCTGTGCGAGAAGAGGGACGTGTGCGCCCATCCGACAACGAGGAGGTACTACGCCAAGGGGTACTGGCTGATCTGCGACCAGTGCGGCCGGCGGTGGAAGTCGGTCAACGGGAAGTGGATCGTGGACGACAAAGAAGATCCTCTTCGCGTACCTACCTCGACAAAGTCACTGGGTTCCTCCTCGCGCTCTCGGCCAGCTGCTTCAACAATGCCGAAACGCCCGGTCAAGTCTTCGGCGAGCTCGAGCCAGGGTCGTACGCGGACCAAGGCGGAGCCAAGGTCACCCTCGGAGCAGGCGGTTCCGACGGACGAGGAATACGACGAGAACATGGACAGGACCTCCGGGGGCGAGGAGACGGACCAGGGATGGGACAAGCTTCCGCGCCGGCCTCCCCCGCGTCGGGGACCGAGATGGTGAAGAGAGGCGCCTGGAAGCGCCTTCTCGGCATTGCTAAGAAGACGACCGCAGCCTGCGAGACGCTTATTAACGTGAGTCAAGATGCCGATCGCCGAGCTGCCGATTTACGAGACGCGGAATGGTGCTGTTCGGACGTGGCCTTCATGGACATTCCCGTTCCTGAGTTGCCCGACCACCGGTACCTGGACAACGAGTGCCAGGCGTGCGGCACCGACCTCATCGAGGGCTGCGCAGGAACAGCAAGACCTACGCGACTCGCTTCACGCTTTGAGCTGAGGGCCTCGCCGAGCGCCGACATAGAGGACGGCTGGGACTTGTCAACTACGCGAGGTGCTCAGAGATGGAAAGATCAGATACTGAAAGACAAGCCACTCTACGTGATCGTAGGCTTCCCCTGCACGCTCTGGTGCTCCTACAATGTCAATGTGAATTACGTCGACCATCCCGAGCTGCTTGAGAGACTTCGTGCTCGGGATCGACGGCTGATTGACTTGATCAAGTGGACCATCAAGTACCAGGTGAAGCATGGCCGGTTCTTCTTGTTCGAGAACCCGCCGACGTCAGCGATCTGGAAGGACCTCCAGTTCGCCCCGCTCCTGCCCTTGGGCGAGACCGTTATTGGCCATGGGTGCCAGTACGGGAAGACAGGCAAGACTGGCCTGCCGATTCGCAAGGCGTATCGCTGGTTCTCCAACTCGCCGCCCGTGCTTGCGGCTCTGAGCCGCCGCTGCCCAGGACTTCGTCCGGAGTCCGGGGGCCACTTGCACGATCAGATTGAGAACTCGAAGTGGACAAAGGCCAGCGGCGAGTACACCGACGAGATGGCCCACGCGATGCTCTACGCGATCCAGCAGGTCGCCGCCCAGAGGAATCCGAGCAGGTTCGCCGACATGCCGGTTGCGGCTACCGAGTGGGAGGTCGCCTACAACCACGCAGGTCCCATCGAGGTGCTGTTCGCCTCGCCAGAGAAGGACCCCACCAGGTGGGAGGCGGTCATGCAGGGCGTCCGACAGATCGTGGGCGGTTCCGCCAACCGAGGCGGGAACAAGGCCATGCGTTACCTTTCGAAGTCGTCCACGCTCTGGAGACAGATTAGCCAGCTCGTCCCGTGGGACCTCACGATGATCCAGCTCGCGAAGGCAGCCAAGCAAAGGAGGTTCCCCATCAACAAGGAGCCGTGGTCTCACCGTGGTCACTGCTACGTGGACGAGAAGGGGCATTACCACATCGAAGCCGAGGACCTGGTGGACGTGGCCTTCCCGACGTTGGCCTTGTCGCCGCCCGCGGACCTAGCCGTTTTCTTCTTCGGCTATGCCAAGCAGGAGTCCCTCCCGCAGGAGCCTGACACGTCACAGATAGAGAAGCGAATGCCGCTTCCCCCGGACCCGAACGACCCGATGCTGCCGAACAACAGCCTGCCGCCCGACGAGGACGACGACCTGCAGGACGTCCCGATCGCTCGGATGCCTGACGCGTCCGGCGGTATGGCTGGTATACGTTTTGTTGGAGTGACAAAGGAGCAGTGTCCTCGTGAAGTTCGCCAGCTTGTCGCTCGTATGCACTGTAACTTGGGACATCCGGTGCCCAGCGAGTTCTTCCAGTTCCTGGCTCAGAGAGGCGCCTCGCAGGCCACGCTGCTGTGCGCCAGAGCGCTGAGGTGCCCGGCGTGCCTTCGTCGCAAACGGCCTCAGCGACAGCGGGAGTCACAGATTCCAAGGGTGGGTCTGTTCAACGACTTAGTCAAGGGCGACTTGTTCTACGTCATGACCCACGACGGTACGACACACGCACTCTTGGGACTGGTGGACAAAGCTACGAGACTCCATGTGGTGTGTCGGATTGTTTCACGCGAACCAGGAGACGTCTGGGAGAAGTTCCAGACGTGCTGGCTCACCCCGTTCGGGATTATGCAGATTCTGGTTGTCGACAGGGACGGCGCCTTCGAAGCCGTGTTCATGGACAACTGCCACACGTTGGGAATCGACGTGAGGTACGTGCCGCCGGGAGCTCACTGGCAGTTGGGCCTGGCCGAATCCGGCAACTACGCCTGGCGCCGAGTCTTCGAGAAGGTGATCGACGTCATCCTGCCGACGATGCCAGAGCACGTGGACCTTGCGATCATCTCGACGAGCCACGCCGTGAACCAGTCAGTGCGCCGAGCAGGCCGCACCGCCTATGCCGCCGCCTTCGGACGGGTACCCACGCTTCCGACCGAGCTCTTGGCTGACACCACGTCCGCCGAGTTCTGGCACAATTGCACCCAGGATGAGATGCTGGCCTGCGGGGAGAGATGCCGCATTGAGGCGCTCAAGGCGATCGCCGACCTGGAGGCCGACGAGGCGCTGCGCACCTCCATCCTCCGCCAGCCTGTCAACCGCAAGGAGTACGACTTCCTCTCGGGACAGCGCGTGGCAGCCTGGGGCGAGCATGGTCGCAAGCGACGGGGCAAGACGCCCGTGGCAGGGTATCGCCCAGGCATTTTCTGTTTCTGGGATTCCGGCACCAACGGCTACGGCGAGGGCGAGTCTGCCTGGTTGCGGATCGGGCACCGCACTGTGCAGGTGGCCCGCGAACACATACGCCCAGCCGTCGGTTTCGAGGGCTGGACCCCTTCCGAGGAGGACCTCAAGGAGCTCAAGACGGCCGAGCAGGACTTGGCGAAGGCCGGCCAGGGCGACGCTTCGAACATCATCATTGAGGGCCCTCCTGAACAACAACCCGAACCAGAAGATCCTCAAGCACGAGTGCTGCCAGGACCTCTTCCGGCAGCCCCGCTCGAGCCCATCCTGGAGGAGCCCGCGCAGGCCTCTCTGGGAGACAACGCTACCAAAGAGAACTTCAGGAGCGCGTCAGCCGACGACGCCCCTGAAGCTGCGCCAAATGCTGAACTTCCTCAACTTGCCGACGCATCGGAGTCTCCGACGCCGACAGGCCAGAGCGGTACCCGGCGTCGAGCCCAGAGTCGAGCCGAAGGCGAAGCTCCAGAGCCCGCTGCGCCCTTTCCGTGGCCGGCACCGCCTCAGTTTGGACCAGTCAGAACACGAGAGCGCTCTGCGACGCCCACGCCGAGGAGATCAGCACCTCATACCCGCGAGTCGTCCGCAGCTCGACCACCATCGAGCGGTTCGGCACCTTCGACGGTTATCGCACCACCACCGGAGAAGAAACCCCGACCAGGAAAGCTTCCTCACATACCGGGCTCACCGAGCCCAGCAGCCTTCGTGTCCAACGAGTCGGACGAGATGGAGTTCATCACACCGGATGGCTGGGACGGAGTCGAGGAGCCAGTCCTGCTCAGGACCCGCGTGTTCTCGAGCCTGGCGGAGGTCCAGGAGGCCTACGAGGCGCACCTCTTGCCCATCGAGAACTTCGAGAACGACCCGATCGACGACAGCGAGCCGGACGACGACTGGACAAACTGCCTGTACATGACCTACCACGAGCTCTCCGACCTCAGGGACGGCGAGATGGACGTGGACTGTGCGACAGCACAGGTGGGCGACACGACGGACTCGAACAACCTGTCGAGACGCGAGCAGCGTCAACTGGATCGTGAAATCCCCTGGCGGGAGATCGCAGAGTACCCGGAGGACCAGTTCATGGAGTACGTCAAGGCCTTGCGCAAGGAGTGCCAGAACTGGGACACCTGGAAGTCCGTTCGGGCCTGCTCGCAGGAGGAGGCCGAACAAGTTCGTCGTGACCCTCATCTCCGCAAACGGTGCATCCGCTCGCGCGTGTGCTACCGGGACAAGAACTTGGGGTTTCCGCCGTTGAAGGCCAAGGCTCGCCCGGTGTTGCTGGGGTTCTCCGACCCCGACCTGGAGAAGTTGCCGCGTAACGCCCCGGTGCTGACCGATGCTGGCAAGAAGCTGATCTGCCAGATCGCGGTCTCGAATGAATGGCGAGTCGGGACCGGAGACGCGGAGAGCGCCTTTCTCCAGGGAGGCGCCCAGAGCGAGCGCGAGGAGGCGATCTACATGATTCCGCCCAAGGACCCGATAGTTCAAGCCGCCGGAGTCTTCACCGCCCCACTCTACGAGGTGGTCGGCAACCTGTACGGTCAGTCGACGGCGCCGTACCTATGGTACAAGCACGTGGTGACGACCTTCCTGGCGCTGGGCAGCAAGCTCCACAGCCTCGATTCAGCTCTCTTCCTGTGGTTTTTTCCGAACAATGAGTTGGCTTGCGTGGTGGGTATGCACGTGGACGATGCTCTTGCGGCACACCATCCCAAGTTCGACTTCACACCGATCGAGAAGGCTATTAAATGGCGAGGCTGGCAGTGGGACAACTTCGTCTTCCTCGGCGAGGAGTACCAGCGCCTACGTCAAGGTCCGTACAGCGGAAGTTTGTTTGTTCATCAAGCGGCCTACACTAAGGCGATCGCAGTCACGAAGGTTGGAGTTATGTCCAGCACTCGGTCTTCTTCTAAGCTGACGCGTTCTGAGCGCGAAGATCTGGAGTCTGCTGTCGGTTCGCTCCAGTGGTTGTCCGGACACACACTTCCAGACCTGTCAGCCGCGGTTTCCCTTGTCCAGAGGACCGACCCCGAGCTGAACGACCTACGGATGGCCATGAAGCACGTAGAGTACGCGCACCGCACAGCCCAGACTGGCATCCTGATCGTCCGCGTCGATTTGAGCCGCGCCTGCTTCGTGAGTTTTGCAGACAGCTCATGGGCGAACGCTCCGGGATTGAAGACCCAGATCGGCACCCTCATCTTTCTGGCAGACGAGGTGATACTCACCGGACCCACGTCATGTACTCTCTTGTTTCACAAGTCCAAGAGAACGCCGAGAGTGGTGAGATCTACGCTGGCTGGGGAAGCTATCGCGCAGGACCTGGGAGTGGACTACGCGTCGTACTTGTCGAAGTTCCTGTCCGAGATGTTGACTGGACGGCCTGCTGGCCGACACCCACCGATCTTCGAGGTTATCACCGTTACCGACTGCAAGTCTCTGTGCGATGCCCTCCACCAGCTCACCCCGAGTTTGTCTGAGAAACGTACTGTGATCGACGTGATTTCCATTCGCGACGAGGTGAAGGTCAAGAACGTCAGATGGATCCCTACGACGCACATGATAGCCGACGGCATGACCAAGGAGGATCCGAAGCTTCGTGAGAATCTGACCAAGTTCTTGGCGGATCCAGTGCTTTCGCTCGTGGAGTCGATTGCTTGCGAGGAGCTGACCGGTGGGGATGGCCAAGTACAGAAGAAGTGATTTGATTTTTTACTTGCACGTGCCGGGAGTCGCGTTTCACTCCCATCCGCTTGGTTTCGCCCAAGATATTGCGAGTTTGACTTTTTTACTTGTACGTGCCGGGAGTCGTGTTTCACTCCCATCCGCTTGGTTTTACCCAAGATATTACCGATTCCGGATGCCGTATCGAGTTCCGGTTCATTGATTTCAGCTGCCGATCCTTGGCCGCTCAGAGAATTCAGTTACTGTTTTATTTCGTGCTAATCCAAGTCCGTGCTGCAAACAAGCCCGTTGTATAGCCAGGCCGCATTCCGAGTTTCAGAGCAGGACCAGAGAGAACTCCAGGAGTGCAATAGTCATTCTGTTTATCTGATAATGCTGGTCCCTGCTATTGCTGTTGCACGCTCTCACCCCTCTGCCCGTAAACATATTGGCTGAGGGGGCCCCCTTCTGCCTACGCTACCAGCTAGCATAACGTATCATTTGCAGCGAGAAGGTCTTGGAATAAAAGATTCACGCATATTGTCAGCACCTGCGTGTGCGTTGCAGTTGTAACCCAGGGGCCAGGGGCCCAGTTTGAGCATCAAGGGTGCGAACGTCGAGGGACACACTTTGATTGAGAAAAAAACAGTCTGCACCGGTGGGGGGGGATCAACACAATTATTCTTCAGACGAGAAAATTCAACACCAACAACAATAATACTCCGCATCGCGGAATTTCACTTCAGCCACGCACCCAGGGACTGTGAATGACCGTTCGGTTCAGCCCCCCTCACTCTGATTATATATATATATATACACACGCACAAATAGGCACAAATAGGCACATAGAAACAATCATTCTCACACGGTCGTAGACTTGTAGAAATATGTGGGGTAATCTATGCGATCGCTTTGAAATGTACCCCATTATATATATGTTCAAGTGGCTGATCTTTTTCATCATAGGAGTGAGGGGTCGAACGGTCTTACACCATCCCAGGGCGCGTGGCCCGAATTATGGTTGTTCGGTTTCTGATGTTATTGACTTCGGCGGGAACCAGGGTCCCGGCTTCTCGGAGGGGGGGACCCACGCGCACACCGCTTAAGGAATCCTGCAGGAATCCCCTCCGGTAGGGACCTGGGGAAATCCCTCACATGTCTGGAGGAAACCGAGGGAATCCATGCGGAATGCCAGCGGCCCCGTAGGAATCCCACAGGAAACCCCGGGAACCAGTTCGGAATCCTGGTGAACCCATCGGGATCTGCAGGGATCTCCTGGGGAATCTCTAGAGATTTCGGAGGGATTCCAGAGGACTCCTCCTCGGCCGTCCTCCTGAGCGCCCCATCGACACTTCTCCCCAGCCTTCAGCTCAAACCCCTCTCCCCCCCAGACCTCCTATCCAAGCAGCCTTTAGCATTTCTTCCAGACGAGCGCTTAATCTTAAGTCGGGCTTGTCCCTCTACAGGGGGGATGTTCCAAAATAGTCAAAACATAATATGGGGACGATTTGTTTAGCACAAGTTTGACCATTTGGGGGCATTTTTGGAGTGTTTTTCATTTTTCGCCAAAAATTCCCCTGTAGGTGGACATGCCCGACCTAAGCTTAATCCCTCCTCGGCCTCCTGCCCCAGCCGTCCTCTTCAACCCTCCTTCCCCCTTTCTCCCCCGATCCGCCAGTGTCGGATTGTTGTATGTAGACTGCAACACGTTCTTTATCATCTCCATTGTCACGTTTTTGGGTCTGCCCTGCTCCGTATTACCTCCGTCCCCATGGGAGGCATGCTGGGGCCACCTCGCGCTCTCATGTGCCTTTCTGGACGCCATGTTGGATTGCGTTTACCAGTAGCGCTTTCGTAAGGACTCCTTACCACGGGTTCTTCATCACGCACGATTGGATTGTGCGCTCGTGCTGCGCGTATGGATTCCGCAGCAACGACTCCCTATTCAGGATGTGTACAAATAGTGACTTGCGAGCTGGCGCTCCCGTTCGTCAGCGTAGCACCCACACGTATGTGTCACACAGCTTCGTATGTACCTTTTCAGAGCGCCGTCTGACGACGAGCGACGCCTCATGCAGGAGCTGGTGGACACAGACTTCGGACCTCCAGCTGGCGATGACCTTCGGGAGCCAGACCCAGTCGCCCAGTGGAGGTATCGGCGCGACCGAGCTGAGCACGCTTTGAATATTGCAGTGGAGCGAGGGTGTGCCACGATGGAGCGTACTGCCGAGCGTGGCAAAGGCTCCACTCCGACCACCAGGGCCACGAGACACTCACCAGCATATCGTCTGGAGCAGTCTATCGCACAACGACGCCTACTACGCCTACATCGACGGCTCGCGGAGCAGCTTCGACAGGGCGTGTTGGACACCAACATACTACGTACAGACCGCTATGCGCAGGTGGCGAAGGCAGCACTTGACCTTCCTCACCTGCTCCACCTACCAGCGACTGGCTGGCGCAGCTACGCCGACGCATTCAACTCCCTCTCATCAGGCATCAACGTTGAGCAGCGACGCGTGCAGGAGAATAGTGCCAGACAGTGCCGACAGCGTCTCTCAGCATGGTCTTCGGATACCTGGCGGCTCACCAGTCCTCCACTCAAATCGACACTTCCCTCGCAATCGTGCGCTGTGCACGAGATGAGGGAGCAACGGAAGCAGCTTTGGGGCCCGCCAGAGTACGACGATGCCCCGCACCTCGACGCCTGGAAGCAGCATGCTCGGAACATCACCTTCCCGAAGTCTTCGTGGCCGCAGGATTGGACACCATCCTACAAGGAGCTCTTGGGCGCTATCAAGTTGGCGAAGGGCTGCCCAGGCCTGGATGGTTGGACGTTCTGGGGACAACTTATTCTTTCAACTATGTTTCCACAGCGTACCCGCGAGCTCGACGACCCGTGGATGCCTACGGGCCAGGAGGCGGTGCGACTTCGGATGGAGGGTCGCAGGCCTTCCGAAAGGCGAGGCGGACACCAGACCCACCGCGGTCGGATCGGTCCTCCTCAGAACATGGCTTCGAGCTCTTGCGAAGGCCGCTCCTGATTCCTCTGATAACCAATGGGCGAATAGGAAGGGCAGCCCTGTACCCCACGCTATATCCAGATGGCTGGTAGACTGCGCTGACGGAGTAGACGGTGCCGACTTGGATTTTTCGGAAGCTTACGATTGTATCTCTTATTCGGTTGCACTTGAATCATTGGACCGATCTGAATTACCCGACGCAGTGATGCACACTTGTCTGGCGGCGTGGTCAGGACCCAGGGTGTGCAGCATGCAAGGGAAACTCGCAGAGCCCATTCGACCACTGTGAGGCTTTCCGCAAGGAGACTCAATGGCGCCGTCTGCAATGATTGCTGCGCTGTTTCCATGGCGGCCGCTATGCAAGAACCGCCTGTTCATGGATGACGGAACCCTGGTGGCACAGAGTCTTGGACTACTCCAGGACGACTTAGAGGCTACCCAGAGGTTCGACGTGAGCATCGGGTACCAGGAGAACGCGGCCAAACGACAAGTATGGTCAGATCAAGGCGCGCAGCCGAGGCTGATCGAACATTCTGGTGTTGAATGCTACCCGGCCAATCCAGTACATCCTATTCTACCTCGCGGAGGATGGGAGAGGCTTGTCCATGGCATTTCAGCCCTTGCATCTATCCTTGGGTCAAACCAGGTCAGGCTGAAGTTGGCACTGGGTTATCTGAGACCGCTGTGGTTGTGGGCATCCCTACTCGTGGTGCCACCACCTCGGCCACGGCCAAGTCCTTGGCCAAGGCTGTCTGGAGGACCAGCGGCACCTGGTTGTGTATGGGCAGCTGGTGGTGCCAGAACGTTTTGTTGCATCCATTCTTTTCGAGTGCTATCTTTGCTACCAAGAACGTAGCGGACACGAAGCTCACTTGGTACAGCTTCTTGGAGACGAGTATGACGTATCATGTGCAGGCCCGTGGTTTGAAGTACATTCGTTACAGTGCCCGACAGGGCTTGCTATTAGAAGTGGGTCCAGCGGATGATCATCGAGTGCACGAGGCGGTGGAACACCTGGCTGATGACAGGTGGAGGTGTTGGGCCTCAGGTGAGGCCGCCGTGCGCACCATATGTGTCATTGCACGTGTCAGATGTCTCCAGATTGTACAGCGGGATCGGCACGATGCGGAGGATATTGATGACGTGGCCGTGGATTCAAGCTTACATAAGCAGTTTGTCAAACTGATGGCTTCTTCGGAGGAGTCATGCCGTACTTTGATCTCGATGTGCCGAAGTGGAGCGGTGTCTTCGGAGACTCGGAGACGCATGGGACATCCGCGCAAGAATTGTGGACATCTTGTACCATCGTTTCGTCATGTTTGGGGGGAGCGCCCGCACTTTTAACGCCAACGTTCGGAGATCCAGCATAGACTGGCTCTCGACTCTGGGTTCTGGACTTCGGTCCCTCGCGTGACCTCGAAGTCGGGATGGATTTGCTACTCGCAGGCTGAGCACCGCGGAGACCGTGTCCGCATGCTCCGAGCTGCTTGTGAGATGTCTCTTACGATTTTACGGTTTGACAGAGCTGAGATATTGACTGAGCCAGACAAGATGATGGATCAACGTCGTCGCCTACCTGCTGCTCACCAATGATTTCGAGTATGTTCAATTGGGCATCTACATCATATGCCAGCTTGTTGCTCTTTTAGTATTGGAAACACAGTTGTTTGTTATGAAAAGATCGTCTCTATTCAAGAGGGCGTGTATGTTAAAAAGGTCTTCATTCACTGCTGTATGTGTCTGTCTGTATGTATGTATGTTTGTTCGTACGTATGTATGTATTTTTGTATGTGTATTTGGAGTCCGGTGTAAACTTACTTTGCCAGCCACCCATTTTTCTATTCTTCTTAAGAGTGATATCGCACGTAGTGTTCTTCATCAAGCGTTCAAAATCAAGGGTCCCTTACCGCATATTGTTTAGCCTAGGTTCCTGAGCCGGCATTCGCTGGGTTCCTCATTCGGCATTTCTTGCGAAGGGCCCGTTATCAAATATTCCCTCTCCAGGTTTCTTTTCGT